ACGATACAATGTCCCAGGAATCATTGCTATCAACAATATTATTGTTTTGTCTCAGACTAATGGACTTTAAATCCTTAAGGATATTCAGACATTAAAATATATTTGTTAAATAAAACCACGCAACCAAAACAATAAATCACGACATTCTTTAACGATAAGTCGAGACAGGACATAATTAGATATCGTATATATCGTCAGTCAAAAAGTCCATATTGACTATAATTTACAACCAAAACCTCCACATCTACTTGTGTAAATTGTTAATTAAACTATTTGGGATAAATGATTAGTCACAAACCTTAAAGAGAACATCAGCAGACAAATACACAGACATTTTATTTTGAAAAACACGTGGAGTGTACAGTCTTTGCTCCTCTTTAGAAATACGGCTGAATTTCTGCAGTTTGAATTGAGAGAGTTCGTGCTGTTCCTCGCTGTACGCTCTGAATGTCAAAACCAAATGCGGTTCAGAAATCAGCCTATTTAACGGAGCTCGTCTTATCAGAAGTACATACCTGCTAGTGCATGACTAAGGACCACTTTTACAGTTTGGCTTTCACGCAATCCAACCGGCAGCTCGATTAAATCTCAACTCTTGACACCGCTCGCTGCCGAAATGAAGGTGGCATTTTGCTTACGACAAAACAGGTTTGAATAACAGGTGAATAACGACAGAGAGGGCCTTCTGAAAGAAACTGTCCTTAAGTATTTTACAGGTTTTGTTCTGTTTGCACAGACATACAAACGTAGATCTGGTTGCGTTAACGTTTTAAAAACTTTGACAGAAGACACAAACTTGTCTTTGGAAGAGGAAGCAGCGGGGTTAAGTGTCCTCTAGAGAAACAACCAGTGTCACTGATGCAAGGTGGAGGCTATCGCGGTCTGATCTGTGTACAGTAAATACACCAAGGTGACAGTTGAATTCAATGGTGATATATTGATGTTTAAAACTGCTACAGAGGAAACCTTTAAAGTACAGCAAGCACCGTGTCTGTGTGTCCTTTCATCCACTCAAGAGGCCCTTCTCTAACATTACAAATACAGCAACACAATGAGAGAAGCACAGTGTGCCAGGTTAAACACCATTAGAAAAGGTACAGTGTATCAAGGACCCGGGCACTTCACATGACCTCTGCCTGTGCCAAAGTGAACCTTTGAAGTCCGGCAGCTTTTCTCGTCTTTCATCATCCGAGAGCTTTAAGTGTAATGTATTCAAATGTAATGTTCATGTGGGACATTGTTCTCTGTTCATGAAGCTTTACTTATTGTACTTGTTTTTTCTCAATCTCAATGCTAATGATCCATTTATTGTAGCTCGTGTTTATTCCAAACCAACCTGAACTGTAAACCACTTCACTTTCTTTGCACTTCTTCCCAGAAAATACCGTCAAGACACCGGATACTTTAGGCCTTGATCAGACTGCCAGCACAAATCTGTTTTCTGCACAGACAATAAACAACGCAACAGACGACAACGTCAAATCCAGAGTACCCCGACTTCCTCTGCTCCAGGTCAACGAGGTCCAGACCTCTGGATCTTTTCAGAGGGGTGTACAATAATAGTTGTGAAGTAATTGCCTAAAAATAACTTTGATGCTCCAATGGTAAGAACATGTATTTATATGGTAAAATGAAAGGAATAAAACTCCAACTTTAACCATAAAATCAACAGTACTAATACTATTTTACTTTAATAGATAATAAGTTAAAGGTCCAGTGTGTAACATTGAGAAGGATCTGTTGGCAGAAATTAAATATAATATTCATAGGTATGTTTTCATTAGTGTTTAATCACCTGAAAATATAATTGTCGTGATTTTATTACCTTAGAATGAGACTCCTTCCAGTACGCCATGTTCAACCGCCACGTTTCTACAGTAGCCCAGAAGAACGGACGAAGCAAACACTGACCGTAGTTTCTCCTACACACTTTACTGACGCGAGGGGTGTTCAGTTCACCACTAGCAGACATCCATCGCTGCAGTTCCTGGCTCTATCTTAATAGCAAGGACTCTTGAGGGGCAGAAACTTTGGCCTAGAGCTAAACCTTGAACGACAACGCTGAAAAGCTTTCCTGGGTTCCTAAATGAGAGTCAGGAAGCTGCCGGGGGTCATCAGACAATGGGCGCGGGACGCCATTCTTCTCTGATGAATGAAACATACATTATCTCATATTTAAAGAATCCCTTCACAACACTCTACGCCACATCTCTTTCCTGACATCTGCACACACCGTCACCTCCACCGGGCACCCCTGAGTGCAATGGGTGACTCAGTATCAAGTTAAACCTGCGCTCCACCAGTTACTGCTCAGCTCGGTGGATTTTACATTTACAGCTTGTGCCGCGGCTCTGATGTCAAATAACGTGATTTTCCTGCACGTTTGTAAAATTTCTCAGACAATTTAAGCACATAATAAGACTGAGATTGACTCAGTAATATCTGAATCCAAGTTAAACAAGACCACATCTGCGCCCTTGACGTCTAATCTATCTTCATTAACACTTGCCAATGGCTGCGACCTTTGTGTCAGTGTGTCAGTGTGTGTCGGTGTGTGTGGCCCGAGTTTTCCTACAAGTTTCCACTCTTTATCTGATAGCACAGATCCTGCCCTCCCTTTCACGCCCTCCCTTCCTCCTTCGTTCAGCGCGCTCTCTCTCTCTCTGACGGGTTGACCTTGCGTATCAGTCTCTGTCAGCAGTTTAACGGACCGGTGGATATTCCGATCAGGGTCCCGAATGCTAACAGAGCAAGTGGCCCGTGAAACCAGAACTCTGATTATTAACACTGTTGAGACTCCTAAAGGACGAAAACGGCGGGTTAATGTTCCTCGACACCCTCGGGTGCAGAGTATCGGGGGCTCGCAGGAAACTATGTTTAGCAACAATGTTGGAAAAGTTGATAATAAACCCTGGTCTGTCTCAACGAATGCCTAACGTACTCATATAAAGTCTGTGTTTAGATTTGAATCTCTGCACTCACCTGCTGTGCAACTGTTTGAGGTTTAAACAAATGATTCAACATATTTGGAAATTCTCTTTTCTGCCTCCAGAGAGTGAGATAAGAAGATTCATGCCACTTTTATGTGTTAAGTACAGAGCTGGAGCCGAGGAGTGATTAGCACTGCTAGTTTAGCTAAAGACTGGAAGCAGGGGAAACAGCAGTTAACTACCCTTAAAACCACACATGTTGTTATCACAGTTACACAATGTGTGCAATTAGTTCATTAGAGGTGTTGGTAGACTTTTAAACTTTGAAGGGAGCCAAGTTATCTGTTTTCCTTCCTGCTGCTGTTAGGCTCCACAACGAACACTCTCAATATGTGCAATAGTATTACACCACAAGGTGTAAAGACTTGAAAACACCAGTTTGACACCAGTTTGACACCAGTTTGACACCAGTCTGTTCAATGCTGTTCTATTTCATTATTTATCTTTGATAAGCTACTCTTTGTGCTCTTGTTAGTTTTTATTCTGTCCTTTCTGTATGCTGTTGCAAACTGCAATTTCCCCATTGCGGGACAAATAAAGGTTTTCTGATCTCATCTTAAAAGTCTACTTAAAGTCATTAAGCTAAGCTAGGCTAACCACATCTTTAAATAAGTTTGTTTTTTTGTTCCCTTATTTTTGAATTAGTAGTTGAAACAGCTCATTTCCCGATTCTGGAACTAAAATCCGTTGACACCGACCCAGAAAGTACAACTACCTGTTCTAGACTTTGAATTTGCTTTACGTTGTTATGGACATCGTAGCTACACACTGAAGGGAAACCAGCTCATTCATTACATTAACGTGGCTTAAAAGGATAAAATAATGCAAACTAGTGAAGCCATTAAAGTGCATAAAACCCGACAGGACGCCTCATTTAACTTCCTTTATAGCTGCATTGTGTTGGGGTCTGTAATCTGTCCATTTTTACAGCATTTATATACATACAACGAATAATCCCATTGGCTTTTCCTCCCTTTCTCCCCCCCCCCCACACACACACTCCCGGCTCCAGATCCCTGTAATGTATTGAGGGATGGGCCGAGAATTCAGGAAGTCACTCCTGCCGTTTCCATGGCAACCCTGAGGTCAGCCCTGCGAGGCCGGAGACCCCTCCTCAAACACAAAGAGCCAAGAGGCCTGGATCAACACAGACGGCCTGGATCACACACAAACACACACACACACACACACACACACACACACACACACACACACACACACACACACACACACACACACACACACACACACACACACACACACACACACACACACACACACACCACTAAAGGACTTCCTGTGTAATCTCTGCAGCTACGACACACAATCAGAGAACGAGCGTGGAAACTGCAGTAAGTCACCATTAATTAATTCATATATTCATTAATATGAATTAATTAATTCATATAGAATTAGGGACACACTGATTATTATTATTATTTATTTGCCCTTTTATGGCGGGAAACAAAAGAAACATACCGAAGAAATCAGTTCGGTATTTGCACGCAATTTGATTCGACTCCAATACGAAGTTGAAAATAACAAAATAATGTGAGCGCGTAGTCGACTAAATGTTTGGACATTGCTACCCTCGCCAGTCGGTTAAACTATTAATAATTTATTGATTTAAGCCTCTAAGATGTTACACAGACAGCCGCCACTAGGGGGAGCAGCTCCAGAAGACAGTCACAGAACTGCAGCCCGGATATAAACCAGTGAGGGGGAAAAAGATGGCAGCTCATAAGACCAGAAAATAAAAATGAGGTTGTGTCAGAAATAAACTTGCATAAAACGTTGCGTAACCACATTCAGCGCGGTGGACCTGCGAGGAGAGCAGGCTGCTAACGTCAGGGATATTAGTCTCCAGGAGCATCGCTAGAAATAACCAGCACAACGTTTAACGTGACAGAAAAACATCGGACACTGATGGCGATGTTCAGCTGATACATCGGCGCCTCCCTGTGGAATATACTGAATAATGTCGGTAGAGTTGTGTAAGGGACGGGAATATGATAGGCCGACAGAAACCCTCATTTAAATGGTTCCTATAGGAAGTGAAGGAGGGGCGGTAAAGGAAAATGTGCTCGCTCAGTATCCACATATATAAACCTGCCTACTTCACCTGCACGGACGTTCACAGAGGTCAGATGTGGATTCAGTAATTTCCTGTTTTCACTGAAGAATGTGTTAGAAACAGAACACCAGAGACAATGATTGACCAGGAAAACCTGGATGATTCTGGGGTCCAAACTAGCAACAAGGTGTGTGTGTTTTAAATAATTTTTACTTACGCTGTGAAAGCTTCTCCTTCTTCCACACACACTCTCTCTGCCTGGGAACCAAACCGACCACCGTCCCGAGGGAGGAAGGAGTCGGATGAATAGGCAGGGCTCACAGGCCGGGGTCACTCATACGCAGCCCACTACAGATTACTGATTAGCTGCTTCAAATGTACTTTTCTATTCAGTGACCTGGTGGTACATGACGACGCGGTTGAACTACGTCTGACCTCCGCCCAGTGATAGCAGCCACAAATATAAAGTGTAATCCATTCTAAAGCATTATTGGCTTTTCTTAATCTATTTATTAATCTACAGTATTGTCCTGTAGGGGGCCATAAGTCTAGATGGGTTTATGCTCCTCTGCATCCCTTTATTCTACTAATTTCACAAATTTAAAAGTCATTCTATTAATGTATGACCTGATTACTTAAAATTATTTTAGGAATAACCTACTTGAACTTCAAAAAATGATGTGACAGTACAATTCAGAACTTAGTGCCATATATAACCCATGTAAATTTATTTTTGTCTCCTTAATTAAATCACAACAGAGATCCCCCTTTTCTCTTTAAATGTAATAACTACTTTTCTAATAAATGGCTCAGTGTAATCTGATTACTTCTTTCCCTCAGTATTGTTGCTGCTAGTTTTCAAATAAAAATGGCTTTTTATGCAAAAATGAGTCCAGCGTCTTATCATTTACAGTTGTTACTGTATGTTTTCATACAGTAAGATGTACTTTGGACACTGGTAACGTGAGCTGATGATATGCATTTATTCAAAGTATGTTTGGTATTACATGCAGATCTGAACTGATCTCATCTTTGAGCTCTGCAGGGTTATTTGTAATATTGGGAAATGAGCAGTAGGCCTACACTACGTGGAATATGCAGTCCTTTAGTTTGTTCTTTTGCAGTTATTCTATAACTCTGTAGCACAACACTTTTTAGTTAATTAAAGCACCCAGCCTGCAAATAGGTTCAGTTCAGCTGTGACAAACTCAATGCAAAAAATCTATTAATTTAAACATTTTTTGGTTGCGAGCTTAGTTACATATCAAACATAGTCCCAATAAATAAATTTAAAGATTATAAAGTGTCTTCCAACAAATTCGGCTGTTAGATAATTTACCAAGCAGCATTTGTGTCTTTACAATCGTGTCCTGGTTCTCACGTCGCTTAACCGTCATCATTGGCGTACTTGATGGATGCAAGTTGCGAGAAAAACAGACAAACCGATTCTCAAAGTTATTTTTTGTGGACACGAGTTGTTCTTTTGGTGTTAAATCAATGCCGAATTTATGAGTGGTATGTTTAAATATGTGTAATATCGCAATAGCTGGTTTACAGTCTATGCAAGTGTGCGGAAAACTACGGTAAGTCAAATTTGATTAATTTCTGATGGGACTCTGGCATTATAGTGAGCCGATGCGAGAGACAGCGGAACCAGTGTGGAGGTAAGTTAACTCACCTGCGGAGGAGCAGTTGCAGACATCGGACCAGCGTTTCCGCTCTTTAACGTTATGTGAGGAGGACTTTAAATAGCAGAGACCATCCTCATGAACAAACACATTAATGTTAAAATTAATTCTTCAGTCGATG